ACCTGCAATAAATTACAGGTTACAATAAAATAAACCACTACCCTCTTTTAGATAACAGAAAAACAAAACATCTTTGTGGTGTAATTATTTTACGTGTATTTTTTTTTTGTGTGTGTAAGAATATTCAACACTGCTATCAATACATCTGGGTTAATAGTTCTAACCGAATAAGTTTAGTGAAACAGTGAGACATACAGGTGCTACTCAAATCTTGAAAATCTGTATTTTTCATCAGTTATTTAAGAAATTAAACATTCAACATATTCTGCACTTGTGATATGTAAAAAACAAAAACATTTCATTTTTCATTTTTAGAATTGACAGTTTGATAAATATTAGAAGATTTAATTTCAAGCTTGAATAAACTGCTGTTCAAACAGGTAAAATACCAATGGGTTTGCTGACTGTCATTGCTGTCATGGGCCAGACACCCAGTCTTTCCTGAAACCCAGAGACAATCTATGGTTTGCTGCCATTATGAAAATGAGAAACACCCAATTTTAAAAATACAGATGAGCTAAAGGCTACTACTAAAGCAACCACCACAGCACCACAAAAAGCTGATAGCTTTCATGCTACACTGCACTGACACAATAATTTTCTTAGAAATCTGTCTTTGATTGATCTTAGAAAAAATAAATAAAAAGAAAGGCTTGAAATATATCACTTTGCACGTAACAAATATAGAATTATATGAAGGCTGATTACTTTTAAATGAAACTACATAAATATGAACTTAATGATATTCTAATCTTTGTATATAGAGCTGAGAGTCTCTTACCGATCCACAAATGGATCCAAATCAAATGGGTCTCCATAGATAGAGAGGGATGCAGCTCCTATGTCAGCACGCATATTGCTTAGTGTGTGCTCTGATGGCCTATAAACTGTTGGAAGCGATGAGCTCTTCTTGTCCTTTACAATTCCAAGACTATTAGCAATACGGCTTCGTGGAGTGGCAACCTTCTTCATCATCTAACAGGAAAAGAGAGTTGTTCTTGAAATGTTTCATAGGACTACAATAGAAATTTCCATTGTTGAAATGAAAATGAAGAATGTTTAAAATCACATATATAAATGTTTGATGTTGATATTAGACTTACCATCCTTCTCCTAGATTTATTCCTCCTTACTTTTCGTTTCCTTCTCTTGACTCCCGTGCTAGACACTTTACCATTTTTAGCAGATGTCTTCCTACTTTTCACCTTTTTGTGCTTTCCTGGACAGGTGACGAAACAGAGGGGAGAGAAAAAAAGCATTTTATCATCAGTTTCTTCACTCATCATCTGTTCATGCAAGTACTTTTATCTAAAATAATTCCTTCATATATGTCCTTACTTACCAGTTTTGCGTTTACGGCTAGATGCTAAACGAGGTGTTAAGTCCCGTATGTATACAGCTGTGTTGAGCCCAGCAACCACAGCATTAATCGTTTCATCCAGCCAAGTGGACTGTATCAGATATGTCGGGGCCAGCTAATGGGAAAAGGTTTGCGTTACTCCACTGCTTTGCTTTCACAACGTTCTGCAAACTTGACTCTCAAACATTAAATGCTACTTAGCAAAAACATATTAGTTGGCATTTAAGACACTTAAAAGTCAAAAATGCATGCCTTTTTTTTTTGCAGTCAATAGCACTAAAGTATATTATCCAGATACATGACAATACCAACAGCATTCCCAGACTGCATACCTCCACCAGGGCTGAAAATTTGCAGAAAATTTTCAAGCAAATCTGTCCATGACTTTTTGATAGATCCTGCTAACAGCTAAAAAACAATCAAGCTGCTCCAATCACATAATCCCCGTGGTAGAGGTAATAGGTGTTTAATGGTATTAATAAATGTATTACGTGGAACAAATAACTTTGTTAAGCTTTGACAAAATAAGCTGCAAAATCCAACAACGCATGAATGCAACAGTAATGAGTTAGAAAATAAGCCATGCTTCATGCCAAACCTGCGACGTGCGTGCCTGTGTGATGCGATGTCGGTTGACATTGGCTCGGACCCTCTCACTCTGCTGGGTACGGGCAATGGCTCTGGTGGGGCCTGAAGCACGGGCTTGTGATCGACTGGCGGCAGGACGTGCAGTAGAAGGCAGGCTGTCAGCATCACTGAGTTCCTCAGCTGAACCTCCTGATAAAAGGAGATTTTAAAGTTTGATTTGTGAAAGGCTGTATTAGGGTGCATTTTTTCCCGAAATCTTTTTTTTTTTTTTTTAAGAAAATTAAAGGTATAAACATCAATTACACAAAGAATAAATTTTTAAAAGCAAGATAAAACAAAATTTAAGCCAACAGGGATACTTTTCAGTATATGTACAAAACTGTATATTTATTTAATTAACATTTAGGTTTTGTTTTTAATTACTATCAGTGAATGATCACGTGCTGCACAAAGAACTTCATTAACTTAAAGGCTTACTTGAGCTACGGTTGTTGGCTTCACACTCAGGACAGAACCATTCCTCTACAGGAACAGAGTCAAGGGGCGGCGTGAGGCACTCCATGTGATATCTATAGAATAAAACACCTTACTGTTAAATATGCAAGCATTCATATGCATGAGTCACAATATGAAGGCTATTTAGCAATGATAAGTAGGTTGAGTGATTGGACGAATATATCAACTATCGACGACAGTTTTTACAAGGGCGATTTATTTATTTATTTATTTACCTGTAAGTACATTTGCTAATAGTTATGGAGCTAACAGAAGCAGTCAACAGAAAAAAATAATAATAATAGCGCTGTTGTAACACCACCCTCTTTCATCTTGAGCGAAATGCACCCTCCTCTAGTGATGTGTCGGTCGCGAACAAAACAGCTCTTAGAACCGGATCTTTGACGTGAACGACGCGAGCCGGCTCCTCCCCCCCCCTTTCTCTCACCCTCTTTCTCGCACGTTGTGCTTTGCGCTGGGAAGAGGGGGGAAGGGGCGGTAGTTACACTCACAGTAGCACAGAAACAGAGCAGGAGGGAAAGACAGAGAAAGAGAGCCAGGGACAACAACGTCACATTAGAAAGGTGTAGTAATCATCCACAACTATTTTCAGTTGCAGATGATAAAGGATTCAGAAAGTTTATTCATGCAGGCCCATATGACAGAGAATATGCATGTTCTTTTTGTTTTCATATTTTAATTTATATTTAATTGTGTTGTGGTTTGCAGTGTTTTGTGTTGTTTCACTTTAAATTTGTTTAAAAGGAAAAAGCTGAAAATTTAAATAGTTAAAAGTTGAAATGTGAATAGTTGGTTTTTGTATTATATGGTAAATGGCCTGCATTTGTATAGCGCTTTTCTAGTCCTAAGGACCCCAAAGCGCTTCACACTACATTCAGTCATTCACCCATTCACACACACATTCACACACTGGGATGGCAAGCTACATTGTAGCCACAGCTGCCCTGGGGCGCACTGACAGAGGCGAGGCTGCCGGACACTGGCGCCACCGGGCCCTCTGGCCACCACCAGTAGGCAAACATGGGGTTAGTATCTTGCCCAAGGATATTTGGCATGCAGCCAGAAGGCAGCCTGGGATCGAACCACTGACCTTCTGATTAGTGGCTGACCTGCTCTGCCACCTGAGCTAAATGATTTATTTATTACATTTTATGTGGAGTGAATAAATAAAAGTATATTTACAGTGGCCCCTAGAGACAAAGCACGTAAAAACTCCAAAACAAGTACAAAAGACAACAGAAGTGCTCCAGGATGCTAGGCGCAGTGTTGAGCTTTTGTTACCTACTGGCTACACAAGCCAGCAAGTACCAACGACCGGATTTGGTGTGTGGTAGTAACAGGTAAATGAACTTTTTTTTAAATTATTTTAATATATATATGAGTGCTTGTGTATAAATACACAAACAACACACACATGCTTTTAGTTGTGTAATTTAAGTGATCTAGGTAGCTCTGTTTTCGAAGGTCAGTTAACGCTAGAAATGTGTTTTGGAGTTTGTACGTGCTTTGTCTCTAGGGGCCACTGTATATATTTATATATAAACATATAATAATTACATCCTTAGATTTACCTCTTTCATCTGGTTTAAAGCCAAAGAAATTCCAAATTGGTGACATTATATATTTTTTTTAGTGCTGTCAGCGTTAACGCGCCGTCATCACGACTCACGCGATTAACAATTAACCCATCTGGAGCGCGGACTGAGTCAAAATACCTGAAATGTCTGTGTCAACGCATTTCGGCAGTTTGTCCAAATTTTGTTCATTCTGCACTCCAGATGGGTTGAGAATGTTAACATTTTAATCGTGATGACTGCGTTTAGGCTGCCTTAACGCTGACAGCGCTTCGTTTTTTTGGAAACTAGTTCGTCCATGTTTGGACTTCTGTGATGTAAACGTGCGAATCAGTCCGTGGATGTTTACATAGCCCCGCCCATCAAAACGTCTGCGCATGCGTAAATATATCACCCATCTGCGATTGTTGGACTGACGATTGCCGGTTGGAAAATTTCTACATAACGCCCAACCCTAAATGATAATGTAAACTTCACCCTGCATCACAGCCGTCACATAGCAGCAGGCGGTCCTCTCGGTCACTGCCCCCACAAACTTCACAGTTGGTCTGCTCCAAGTCCAAATTAACGGTTTCCTCTTGCCCTTCCTTCACAGGCTTTTGCACAGTTATCTAAAAAGAAGCAATAATCATAAAGACACGTAGGAAAATAAAGTACATTGTGTTATGTTTTCTGAGTAAAATGAGTTAATAATTGTTTCAAACTCACCATTTTTTTCACTTTGCCTCCATAACATTTCCTGAGGTATATACTGTTAAAGGCCATACGGTCGACAGGACACGAGTTTGCATTCTGGAGGAGAAACAAACAAAAAACAAACACAATAACTGAGCCGCTGACCTTCCTCTTCCTCTGATTTCTCATCAGCGTTCAACACTCTGCAGCCTTGTATCCTGGCCACTAAACTTTCCTCCCAATTTCACCTGGATGATCAGCTAATCCTGTGGATATTGGACTTTTTGACCAACAGGACTCAGAAAGTTTGGGTCAACAACTCTCTTTCCGGTCTCCGTTCCACCTCCACTGGCTCCCCCCAGGGCTGTGTGCTCTCCCCCCTGCTCTTCATCCTCTACACCGATGACTGCAGATCCACACAGCCCAACTGTCACCTGGTGAAATATGCTGACGACACAGTTCTCCTGTCACTGCTGTCAGGCCCCTCACAACACCACGGGCCCGCTCTTCAGGAGTTTGTAGAGTGGTGTGACAGCTCCAAACTTGAACTGAACATGAGCAAAACCAAAGAGATGGTGGTGACCTTCTCCAGTAGGCAGAGGGATCTGGCTGCTTCAGTCACCACCACCATCCATGGGAAGCCAGTGGAGGTAGTTGAGGAGTACAAATACCTGGGAACCATCTTTGACAACCTCCTGAAATTCTCTGCCAACACAGAGGAGATTCTCAGGAGGTGCCACCAACAGCTATACCTCCTTAGGAAACTCAACTCCTTTGGAGTCAGCACACCCATCATGATGACTTTTTACTATGCCTTCCTGGAAAGCATCATGACCTTCTCCATCACCTGCTGGTTCCACTCCCTCAGCCTTCAGAACAGGAACAGACTGCAGCACACTGCATCAGTGTGCTCTAAAATCATTGGACTGCCTGTCAGAACTCTTGCACAGGTTTTCAGCCAACAGGCCTTAGACAGGCAGCCAAAATCATCAATGACCCCTCTCACATTCTTCACCCCGCATTTCAATAGCTCCCCTCTGGGCGACGCCTCCGCTGCATTTCCTGCAGGACTGAGAGGAGGAGAGCCACCTTTGTCCCCAAAGCCACTCTGCTTTTTAACTCCAGCCGATAAGACCATTTCCCACACCAGAAACATAAGCTACTCTACACTCTTTTATATTGCTGACACTTTATTCACTTTTAGTCACTTACGGTTATTTATTCACCTAGTCACTTTAATTTTAAATCAGAATCAGAAAGGGTTTTATTGCCAAATGTTGAGCGGGTTTACAACATTAGGAAATTGCTGTGTAATTTTAAAACTGTGTATATACTGTATATTCTGTGTATTTCTTATGTCATTCTTATTGCCTGTTTATGCCCTGCCCTTATCTTTAACGTCATGCTGCCCTGTTGTATCCTAATTGCGCCTTGGGGATAAATAAAATCTTTCTGATTCTACCACAAAAGCATAAAACTGCAGAGAAAATAGCGATTATTAAAAAATGTAAGACACTTCATAAATAAACGTTTTCTTTTGTTCATACATCATAAATTCAGACCCACCTTGGCCCATTCCAGGATGCAATCGAAACAGAAGTAGTGCTCACAGTTCTCTGGTGTTGCCACAGGCTGACTGTTGAGAGAGTTAAGGCAGATGGGACACTTTTCTGCGTCCTCATCAGAGCTCATCATTGCAAGGTCTGCAGAGGTTCCTCCAAAAGCTCCATCTTCCGGCTGAGCATCTTCTTCTTCTTCTAGATCTAATAAAAATTACCAGAAATATATTCTACATAAACTGGCATAAACAAAACAAAAGTTGTGCACAGAGTAGCACAGATCCTTGGGAAAAAATAACTCTTTACTTTTTTCCTACTGATTATCAGCAAATTTTACACTTTTCACTTATGCAAAGCTGGGTCATGGGGGCTTAGCCCAACCAACATACACAGGAAACTCAGGATCTTGTTCTTTCAGTCACTTCCCCAAGCGCATAAACATAGGTGAGTGTTGGAACATAGATCAATTAGTATACCAAAAACTTTACTTTCTGGTTCAGCTCTCTCTTCACCACAATGGTCCAGTACAGTGCTCATATTACTGTTTCCCATCAACCACACTCTCCAACTTTCCATCACTTACAAACAAGAGCCCAAGATATTTAAACCTGTATGCTCCAGTCAAACAACTCTCCCCCAAACCTGGAGGGATCTGTCAACCATTTTCAAGTAGAGAACAATAGGCTTTAATTTGGAATTTTCTCATGCCTTAATAATAGCATTCAGTCTATTAAATTATACAGTCTGCATTTTGGCCAGCTTTCCTTCCTGGCTCTAAGCAGACTTTTTCAATAAAGCACTTATACGGTAAAGGCACATACTTATTCAAACATCTTTTCTTTAACGTAAGATATGGCATTTCTCCTATCATATACACACTGCAGTGATACTACGCATTTAAACTCATACTTTCATATTTTACAGTCTCTCTTTGTAAAATATGCCATTATGCTGTCCATGTTTGTAACTGATCATGTGATACTAAACCGCTTCTTTCATGTGAAGGTTGATGGTTTGATCCCAGTCTGCATGCCAAGTGTCCTTGGCAGGATATTAATCTCATGTTGCTCTCCAATGCATCCATCGGAGTATGAATGTGTGTGGATGGTAGTTAGGAATCACTTAGAAACAGTAGAAAAAAAGTGCTCATATGAATGGGTGAAAGTACTAGTTGTGTAAAGTGCTTTGAGTGCTTCAGTCCATTAACCATGTGAACACAGTGATAGAGTAGGAAACCCTGCGTTAACTTCGCAAATTGAAAACCACCTTCATGAATCAACTAGCCTGACTGCTGATTTTAAAGTAAGCAAATATAGGTAAGAAGAAGATGTCCTAAGTATGCAAACTTCGCTTCTCAAATATGCTTATGATACTTAAGGTAAGATTCAGATCACAAAGATGTTCAGCCAACAAAAAATACATATTGAGTCACTCCTACCATCCTCTTCTTCATTCCCTTCTTCTTCTTCCTCCTCATCTCCATTTACTTGGCCATCCTTTTCTTCATCCCCACTTTCAGATTCTCCCTCCTCAGACTCCACGTCTGAGTCATCAGAGTCATCTAAAGGGAAAGGTTAACGTGGAAAAAAAACAAAAAAACAAATAAAAAAAACAAACAAACAGAAAATGCAGTAAAACTTTAAAGTATGTGGGGCTCCAGATCATGGGAAACTACTACCTGATATGGCCCACAGTGCAGCTCTTTTTCCTCTGCTGTGAGATGTGCTGCAATTGATCAGCTCATCTTGGCTGTCGTCTTCATCCATGGTTGACCATCAGAACAGCATCAGCAGCAACTTTTCTAATACAATATAACAATTCAAAGATTTAACACAAATGCAGAAATAAAGAAGGTAATAACCGTTTTCCCCTAATGAAATAGATCGTGATAATCATGTATTGCTGTTAACATATACGCGAATCTACGCACTTAAGGAATTTTGTTATTTACATCCGCCCCTCTCTGCCCCAATCAGGAATCGAAAATGGTCTCAGCGATGTATTACTAGAATGAAGTGACAAATCACTTTTCTTAAGCGACACAAGTGTCATATCACTGTATATGCAGTCATTTCTCAGACGATATTTTCACTCTTTTGATGGTTTTTAATTGCTTGCACACAAATACAAAAGGTTTTCCTAACACCCGGTAGCTAAAGGACAACCTATGGACTCTGCAGGAGCTACATTTGTAAACAAAGAAGAAACTAGGCATCAAACATTGCATTTTTCCTTTTCTCACAGATAAAATAAGCAAGCAGCACATATAAAAACATCCACTTTAAAGCTATCCGCTGCGACAAGAACATAGCATTTTCTGTATAACCGTACTTAAATGCCGCTAGCTAGTAACGTTAGCACCAGTGTAGCATGTTAGCTAGCATTGGGACGCTAAAATTAGAAAACGTCAAGTACAAGCTGGCTTGAAGTCTTTACTGAAAGCACTCAGTGTGTCCGTAATTTATTCAAACTCTCTGTTTAACCCATGTAACTGTGGCGTTCTATTAAAGCAATTAACAGTAATATAAGACCTACCCTATTCAGAGGTGTAGGGTATATGTTCAGAGTGGTTTGAAGTCTCCAGGGTTGTTGACTGACACCACCGGCTGGTTGGAGACGGAAATGGCCGCGTGCAGTCAGAAGAATTGGCTCTTAAAGAGATAGTGTCCTCTTATTTGAAATCAGCTTATATTTAGTGATCATTAGGTTCATTTTTGTTGTTGTTGTTTTTCTTAAAGACACGTTTGAACAGTAGGCTATTTCACGC